CCCACACAAATCCAAGCTCAAAGAGTCCCAAACAAAATGAACCCCAAAGGCCAACACCAAGGCACGTTATAATTAAATTGGCAAACACCAGTGACAAAATAAGAATCTTAAAAGCAGCCAGAGAAAGACAGAAAGTTACCTACAAAGGAACCTCCATCAGACTAGCTACTGATTTCTCAACAGAAACTCATCAGGTCAGAAGGGAATGGAATGAAATAACAAAGTCATGCAAAGGTGGGTTCTGAATCCAAAAATATTGTACCCAGCAAGGCTATCAATCAAAATTGAAGGTGAAATCAGGAGCTTCACAGACAAAAAAAAAAAAAAAAAAAAAAAAAAAAAAAAAAAAAAAAAAAAAAAAAAAAAAAAAAAAAAAAAAAAAAGGACTAATTGAATTTATTACAATCAAACCAGCAATGCAAGAAATGCTAAAGGGTCTGCTGTAAAAAAAGAAATAGAAAGCGAAGAAGGAACACAGGATAAAAAATAAAAATGGCATCAAAAAAGCACCTATCAATAATAACTTTAAATGTAAATGGTTAACTGCACTAATCAAAAGACGTGGGGTAACGGACTGGATAAGAAAAGAAGACCCATAGATCTGCTGTCTACAAGAAACCCACCTCAGAAAAAAAGACAGACACAGACTGAGGGTAAAAGGATGAAAAAAGGTTTTTCAGGTGAATGAAAATGAAGAAGAAAAAAAAAAAGCTGTGTTAGCAATACTTATCTCTGACAAATTAGATCTCAAAGGGAAGGACATAACAAGAGATAGAGATAAGAAAGACCACTTCATAATACTAAAGGGAACAATCCAACAAGAAGAAATAACTCTGGTAAACATATATGCACCCAATACAGAAGCACCCAAATACATTAAAAAAAAAAAACTCCTAGAAGATATAAGCTCATTCTTTGAAGCCCACATCACCCTAATACCAAAACCAGATAAAGACAACACAATGAAAGAGAATTACAGGCCAATATCCCTCATGAATATAGATACCAAAATCCTCAACAAAATTCTAGAAAATCAGATCCAGCAGTACATCAGAAAGATCATACACCATGACCAAGTAGGATTTATCCCGGGAGTGCAAAGAAAGTATAACATCCACAAATCAATAAACGTGATACATCACATAAGCAAATTGGGAGGTAAATATCACATAGTCATATCAATTGATGCAGAAAAAGCATTTGACAAAATCCAACACCCTTTCTTGATTAAAAACTCTCAACAAGGTCGGAATAGAAGGATCATACCTCAACATAAAAGCTATATATGATAAGCCCACAGCAAACATCATACTCAATGGGCAAAAACTAAAACCATTCCCTCTAAAAAAAGGAACAAGACAGGGATGCTCACTCTCACCACTCCTGTTTGACAAGTTGACATAATACTATACATAAAAAACCCGAAAGACTCCATCAAAAATCTAATAGACTTAATAAATGAATTTGGCAATGTAGCGGTATACAAAATTAATACCAAGAAATCTATGGCATTTCTATACAATAGTGGACTTAAAGAAAGAGAGACTAAAAAAGCAATCCCATTTATCATAGCACCAAAAAAAAATAAGATACTTAGGAATAAACTTAACTAAGGAGGTAAAAGACTTACATTGGGAAAAACTACACGACAGTGAAAAAAAAGAGATAAAGATGTAAACAGATGGAAGAACATACCAGGTTCATGGATTGGTAGAATCAACATTAAAATGTCCATACTACCCAAAGCAATCTATAGATTCAATGTACTCCCCATTAAAATGCCAACAGCATATTTCACAGACCTAGAAAGAACTCTCCAAAAATTCATCTAGAATAAAAAAAGACCCTGAATAGCCACAGCAATCATGAGAAAGAAGAATAAAGTAGGAGGAATCTGAATACCAGACTTCAAGCTGTATTACAAAGCCACTGTCCTCAAAACAGCCTGGTACTGGCACAAGAACAGACATATAGACCAATGGAATAGAACAGAGAATCCAGATATCGACCCAAACAACAATGCTCAATTAATATTTGACAAAGGAGGTATGAACATACAATGGAATCAAGACAATCTCTTCAATAAATGGTGTTGAGAAAGTCGGACAGATACTTGCCAAAAAATGAGACCAGATCACCAACTTACACCATACACAAAAATAAATTAAAAATGGATACAGGACTTAAACATTAGAGGGAAAACCATAAAAATACTGGAGAAACCGAAATCGATTTGGCTCAGATGATAGAGCATCGACCTGCGTACTGAAGGGTCCCACGTTAGGTTCTGGTCAAGGGCATGTACCTTGGTTGCGGACACATCCCCAGTGGGGGGGTATGTAAGAGGCAGCTGATCGATGATTCTCTCTCATCAATGTTTCTAACTCTCTATCGCTCTCTCTTCCTCTCTATAAAAAAAAATCAATAAAATATATATATATTTTTTAAATACTGGAGGAATCCACAGGCAGCAAAATCTCAGACATATTCGGAAAGAACTTCTTCACTGATACTGCCCCTAGGGCAATGGAAGCTAAAGAGATAATAAACAAATGGTACTAAATCAAAATATAAAGCTTTTTTACAGCAAAAGAAACCATCAACAAAACAAGAAAGACCCCTGAATGGAGAACATATTTGCAAATGTTATCACTGATAAAGGTTTAATCTCCAACATCTACAGGCAGCTATACAACTTAATAAAATAAGATAAATGATCCAATAAAAAAATGGGCAATGGACCTAAATAGAATCTTTTTGAAAGAAGACAGAAGGGCAAGAGATACATGAAAACATGCTCAAAGTCACTAATTATCCAAGAGATGCAAATCAAAACGACAATGCGGTTCCATCTCACACCTGTCAGAATGGCAATCATCAACAAATCAAACAACGAGTGTTGGCAAGGATGCAGGAGAAAAAGGAACCCTTGTGCACTGCTGGTGGGAATGCAGACTGGTGTAGCCACTATGGAGAACAGTATGGAGTTTCCTTAAGAAACTAAAAATGGAGCTCCCATTTGACCCAGTAAACCCACTTCTAGGAATATATCCTAGGAAACTAGAAACACCAATCAGAAAGGATATATGCACCCCTATGTTCATAGCACAATTCACCATAGCTAAGATTTGGAAACAGCCTAAATGTCCATCAGCAGATGAGTGGATTAGAAAACTATGGAGCATCTACATAATGGAATACTATGCTGCTATAAAAATGAAAGAATTCTTACCATTTGCAGCAGCATGGAAGTATCTGGAGAGCATTATGTTAAGTGAAATAAGAAAGTGAATGAAAGAAAAATACCACCTGATCTCACTCATTTATGGAAAACAAAGAACGTTATAACCTGAGGAATAAAAGGTAGATACAGAGGCAGTAAAGCATCAAAAAGACTATCAAATTACAGCGAGAAGGCTGGGGGGTGTTGAGGAGGGAGGGAAATAGATCAACCAAAGGACTTGTATGCATGCATAAAAGCACACCAATGGACACAAGACACTGGGGGTGGGAGGTGGGATGAGGGCATGCAACAGGGAGTAGGGGAGGCTGGGGGAAGGTCAATGGGGATAGGAGATATATGTACTAATATATGTAATATTTTAAACAATAAAAAAAAATTTAAAAAGAGAGATGATAAGAGTGCGAAAGCTAAGTTAGACCCCGACCAAAACCCAACTCGAGCTTTGGTTTTCACAGTCTCATAAAGATAAAAGTCATGCCTGGACCTACCTTAGGTAGTAAGTCATATAGGAGATCCTATACCATACAACTGGAACCCATAAAATGAACCAAAGTAAATGTGATCCATTTTAACCTATCTCCTAAGAATTGCAAGGAAAGTTCCTTTGGCACTGCGGTTTAAAGGAGAAAGGAAAAGAAGAGTTTTTGACAAGTTAGAACTTCTTCTGTAAAGGGCAAAATATATATAGGTTAGCCTTTAGAGGCCATGTGATCTCTATTGCAACCACTCAACTCTGTCATTATAGCATGAAAACAGCCACAGACAAAACAGAAAACACTATTTAAGAACACTAAAATTTAAGTTTCATGTCACAAAATATTGTCCTTTTTTCCCAATTATTTAAAAATGTTAAAACCATTCTTAACTTTCAACCTTACATAAACAGGCTACAGGCCACAAGACACATACTGACTGCCGCCTCAGCTACCGTGTTTCCCCGAAAATAAAGCATCCTCCGAAAATAAGACCTACTTACAGATTTCCTTCTGAGTAAAATATAAGGCATCCCCCGAAAATAAGGCCCCCCGTAGGCTCTGTCTTGGAATGAAAATTAATTTACCGTAAACTTTGTGAAACCTAAACTGCAAGAAGTTGTGACTTGGGTGAAGAATTCATGGGAGAAAATCACTGACAGTTGCATTGCAAATGCACTGCGAGCGGGCTATCTTGACAAGAAGTACTCATTTAAAGACAGTGCTATTGCTAAACATGAGAGATTTGGTCCACTAATTCTGAAAGAAATGGAGTCACAAGAAATTCACCAGGAAATTCAGAAATTGGATTGTTATGATGATGTTCCAGAAGATGATGACATGATTGTCATTGAATAAATGAGTAAATTCTTGATACTGTATTGACAACTACTGTACTACCGTACCGTATACAGGTAATAAATTTCCTTTATTTTCATTTAACAATAAATGTGTACCGTATTCTTCTTCATGGAAAAATAAGACATCCCCTGAAAATAAGACCTAGCGCATCTTTGGGAGCAAAAATTAATATAAGACACTGTCTTATTTTCGGGGAAACAGGGCACCACAACCCTACCTAGACAGGCACACATACACATACACAGACTTGTGACCTTAATTCACATTGCCTGGAAACCCAGGTTATAGTCATCTAGAAGATGTATGAGCAAGTGTCACAAATAATGACCTAAGAAAAGGCATTATTTAGAACTAGAGGCCCAGTGCATGAATTCGTGCATGGGTGGGTTCTGGCCAGTCCAATCCCAATCAGGGCAGATCAGGCAGGGCCGAGCCTGTCAGGAGGAGATGGAGGGAGATTGGCCAGGCAGCCTGCCCCAATCAGGACCGGCCAACTTGGGGGAGGGGCTGCAGATGATTGATCAGCGTGCCCCGACCCTGACTGGGGTGGGGGAGGCCGATTAGGGGTGGGGTCAGCCATACGTAGGTGCTTTGGGCATTGACAGCTGGCCCCGCCCCCAAATGCGGTGGGGGAGCCCTTTGGGGTTTAGTGGCCATGGGAGGGGCCATGGAAGGGTAGCCAGCCAGCCTCATCCCTGATTGGTGTGGGAGGGGCCAATCGGGAGTGGAACTGGCTGGGAAGAGAAGCCATGGACCAATCGGGATGTGGGGGCCTATCGGGGGCAGGGCCAGCCAGGGAAAGGGGCCGCAAGTAGTTGGTCGTCTATCCCTGCCCCCTATTGGAGTGGTGGGGGCAATCAGGGGCAGGGCTGGCCAGGGGGAAGGGCTGCAGGGGAGCTGCCATCATTTGGGGTGGAGGAGTCCAATCAGGAGCGGCTCTGGTCAGGGAGAGGGTCATTAGCCCCGCCCCATGATCAGGCCAGTTCGGTGGCTGCAATGGGCATCATAGCAACCGGTTATTATAAATTATGGCTTTTTATATAGAGAAACAAACAAGGAAACAAAACACCATGAAAGAATAGAAATAAATATCCAAAAATTTCAGATATAGGAAATGATCATACACAAAATATAAAAACTGTTTACTAATGATTCAAAGAATAAACCTTAAAATATCTGAAAAGGACAAGAACAACAAAAAATCATTTAGAAGATTTGAAAAAAACTAAAAACAATTTATGAAATTATAAAACACAAATGAAATTTAAAATAAATTGGAATAGTTGAAGAAAAAATAGTGAATTAAAACACATACCTGGCCCTTGCCAATGGCTCAGTTGGTTGGACATCATCTCATATATCAAAAGATTACTGGTTTGATTCCTGGTCAGGTCAAGGCACATGCCCAGGCTGCTGATTCAATCCCCAGTAGGGGAATGTACACATATGGGAGGCAATTGAGTGATGTTTTTCTCTCTCTCTCTCTATTCCCCTCTCTAAAATGAATAAAAGCATATCCTCAGGTGAGGATTTTTAAAAAAAGACATATCTGACTAAATTACCCATAGTGAAAGAAGGGGGCGGGGGGGGGGGGGGGAGAGGAGGGACAAAATAAGGTTAAAAAAAACATGTAAGGGAAAAAATCTAATATATATGAAAATCAGAGATCCAGAAAAAAGACAAAAATAGCACTGAAACCATAATATCATTTCCTTTGAAAACAAACAGATATCAATAACAAAAAGATAACCAGGGATAACAAATGGTATCTGTCACACCAATATATATCTCATTCTATACACTTCTCCTAGAGGCCCGGTGCATGAAATTTGTGCACTTGAGGGGTCCCTCAACCAGGCCTGCACCCTCTTGCAGTCCGGAAGCCCTCAGGGAATGTCCAACTGAGGGCTTAGAGGGGAGCAGGCCTAAGCTGGCAGTCAACCATCCTTAGCGCTGCCACAGAGGCAGAAGAGGCTCCAGCCACATCAATGCATTCACTAGCCATGAGCCTTGCTCAGGGCTTCTGGCTAAGTGGCACTCCCCCTGCATTGAATGTCTGACCCTGATGGTCAGTGCACATCATGAGACCAGTCATTCTGCTGTTCAATCGATTTGCATATTGGCTTTTTATTATATAGGATAATGTAACATTGATATTTTCCCCTAAGTTCTCTCCCTCTTGAACTTGGGTGGGCCTTCATAACTGTCTATACCTGTGGTCATCAAATGTGGTTCATGAGCCACATGCAGCTCTTTGGCCCCTTGAGTGTGGCTCTTCCACAAAATACCACGGCCTGGGCGAGTCTATTTTGAAGAAGTGGCATTAGAAGAAGTTTAAGTTTAAAAAATTTGGCTCTCAAAAGAAATTTCAATCGTTGTACTGTTGATATTTGGCTCTTCTCTAGACCAAAAGAATTTAGCAAAGTGAGGCTGAGTGTCTTCTGAGGCTATTACTATTGTAACTAGCTAGTTATTAATATTAATGGCAGAAAGCAAAGAGAAGGCCAGACGTTATAAACATGGTCATCTCGGCAGCTTCACTAGGAACCTGCAATTTTATATTACCCAGGTAACCAACAGTCAATTCCCTGCAAATCACTTGAGGAAGAGGTCCAACAAAGGGGAAATGGACACATGTGCAGTGAAGTCAGGGTAATGTAGGAAAGATGCCTGCCTATCAGTCTAATCTAGAAACAAAGAATACTGGCTAGGAGGATGTACTCCAATGCAAGCCCGCTAAAATTTGGAAATATATAATCCCCAAAGGAATTCTCACTCTCGTTCCTTTTACTTCTCTCCTGCTTCCTTGCACTCACTGTGTGTCTCCATAGTTATGTGGACCTCACACACAATGGATTGCAATTGGGAACACAAGCTAACCTAGTCAGATGTTGGAGTTATGTGCAAATATGGAGCAGAAACTTTGGGCACCAGCTTTGATCTTAGCTCTGCTGAAGACAAAAATGGAACTTTTTCCAAGGTGGGAAGGAAGGCACCTGAGAAATACAAGGGTTTAATTCCATAGAAATGAAGCTTTCCACAACACCTTATCCTCCCATGGGACCCATAGGAAATTCTTATTCCCATGGCACCCCAAGAGCTCTACTTCTACGAGCAATAGGTGGGGACATGCAGAGCACCCCAATGAAAACAAGGCTAGTTCATAAATAGCAAACAGCCATATGGCTTCTACCTAACACTTTCTCCCTCAGGAATTCCAATGGTCATACCATAACAGCACTATGAAAGCACCGCGGAAAAATCCACTTAGAAAGGAACTAAAGCACAACTGCCAAGTTGAACCATTCCTAACCCACAAAAACTATAAACAATAATGAGCCACTAAGTTTTGTAGTTAGCTTATTATGCCATAATAGATAACATACTAGAAAATGCTCATACAGGTAGTAAATTTAAAAATATAGTTCCAAATAATTCACATGACAAATAAGTACACAGAAAATATTTTGAACTAAAATACTACAATTCAAAACTTGCGAGATGCAACTAAAGCAATACTTTATAGACTGGTCGCCAACCTTTCAGACCTCACGGACCACCAGTGGTCCACATACCACCAGTTGGCAAACAATGCTTTATAGCAAAATTTATAACCCCAAATAAGTATATAACAGAAAGTAGTAGGTACTTCTATCTATTCAGTAAGATAGAAAATAGAGTAGCAAAATAAACCTTGGACAAGTAAAAGGAAATAAAAGAAATAACGAGAATCAAAATGAAAACATACACTAGAAAGGGCCAAAAACCAGAAGCTGGGTCTCTGAAAAAAACTATAAATTGGCAAATATCTGTCAAGATGACAAGTGAAAAATGGTGTTATTAGGAATGAAAAAGGAAAAAAAAAAAAAAAACTACCTATGCTGTAAATATTAAATAGTTAAGAGGATTTTTTTAATTCAGATGAAAATGAAAAAATCCTAATAAATACTACATAATTTAACAAACCTTATTCAAGAAGATACAGAAAACTTGAATAGCCCTGTGTATTATTTTTTTAATCCTTTCCCAAGGATATGTTTTACTGATTTTTTTTTTTTGGGGGGGGGGGGGGTAAGGGAGAGAAACAGAGAGAGGAAGGGGGAGAGGAAAAGTGATGTGAGATACATCGACCACTTGCATTCAGTATGTGCCCAACTGGGAATTCAAATCTGCAACCTAGGTGTATGTGCCCTGACCAGGAATCTAACCTACAACCTTTTAATGTACAGGATGATGTCACCTAGCCAGGACCTGAATAGTCCCATTTAAAAAAACAAAATGACTTCAATAAAAATTAAAATTAAAATCTCCCCCACAGAGAAAACCAGAGCCACACTACTTTACCACCACCAAGTTCTGCTAAATACTCAAGAAATGAATAATTCTAACTTAAGTAAATTTTTCCCAATTTTTTTTATGAGGCTGGCATAATTCTAAAACCAAAGAACTCTGGCAGGGACAAGACAAGACAAGTCATAAACTAACCTTTTTTTTTTTTTTAATATATTTTATTGATTTTGTACAGAGAGGAAGGGAGAGAAATAGAGAGTTAGAAACATCGATGAGAGAGAGTCATCGATCAGCTGCCTCTTGCACAACCCCTACTGGGGATATGCCCGCAACCAAGGTACATGCCCTTGACCAGAATCGAACCCGGGACCCTTCAGTCCCCAAACCAACGCTCTATCCATTGAGCCAGTTTTGAGTGGGAAGTTCATATCTCCACAAGCCTATTGCAAAAAAAACAAGAAAAAATGGTAAAAAATTATCTAACACTACAACTCAAAGAGTCAGAAAAACAGCAACAAGAAAAGCCCAGTGTAAGCAGAAGGAAGAAAATAATAAAAATAAGAGTGGAGATAAATGACATAGAGATAAAAAAAAACAATAAAAAAAAAAAAAAAAAAGCTGATTCTTTGAAAGGATAAAAAAGATTGATGAACCTCTAGACAGGCACATCAAAAAACAAAGAGAATACAAATAAACAAAATCAGAAATGAAAGAAGTGAAGTAACAACAGACCCTGCCAAAATACAAAGGATTGTTACAAAATACTATGAACAACTGTATTCCAACAAACTGGACAACCTGGAGGAAATGGACATATTCCTAGAAAAATATAACCTTCCTAAACTCATTCAGAAAGAATCTAAAAATCTCAAAAGGAAGAAATTGAAACAGTCATCAAAAAGCTTCCAGCAAACAAAAGCCCAGGGCCAGATGGTTTCACAGATTTTTACCAAACATTCAAGGAAGAAGTAACACCTATCCTCCTCAGACTATTCCAAAAAATTCAAGAGGAAGGAACACTTCCAAACTCCTTCTATGCCCACATCATCACCCTAATACCAACACCAGATAAAGACAACACAATGAAAGAGAATTACAGGTCAATATCCCTCATGAACATAGATGCCAAAATCATCAACAAAATT